CCCCCCCACCCCCACTCACGTTCTGTCTGTCTCTCTCAAAAATAAATAAACATTAAAAAAAATTAAAACTTTTGAAATGTATTGAATTGAGTAGACGCAACCTGTAAGCCATTCTGGCTGCTAGAATGAATTTCAGACACTTAATAACAGTAGTCAACAATGGTTACGCATATTGAGGTCAGCCCTTAAAGGGTTTTACTTCATTACTTGAGGGGAGAATTGTGTGTGTGTGGGGGGGGGGTGTGTGTGAGTGTGATTTGTTTTGTTGGTAATTGTAATGAAGAACCTGGTTCCTTTGGTTGAAGAGTTTCTCAGACTTGGGACTACTGACGTTTTGGATGGATATTGTGGGGGCCTGTACTGGGTATTAGACAATGCTTAGCAGCATTCTTGGCCTCTACCCACCGGATGCTGGTAGTAGTACAGCCCCTCCGTTGTGACAACCAAAAATGTCTCCATTGCCAGTGTCCCCTGAGGGATTAAAATCAACCTAGGTTGAAAGATTACTGGTTTAAAGGTGTTTTAGTTAAGACCATTATACTATTGTAAAGCAAGTAAGAACACCTGACTGATGAAATCAGATAGGTTGTGTGTTTCTTCCTGGATATTATTAGACTCTGACTTACTCCTTTGGATTCAGCAGCAGCGCATAATGCTACACCCTAAGAAATCTGATACACCAGAGATACTTCACAATTATTTCAATTTGGGGGAAGGTATTATAAGTCCTGGTTAAAAATACAGAGCATAAAATGGTATAGTCTTTCCACTCCCCCCAGAGAACCCCGTGTCCTTTTCTTGGAAATAGCCTGGCCATCATTGATGATTTCCTGTGTGCCTTTTCAGAGATTCAGATTATTGTATATACATTTAATGTGTATATATTTTTATTGAGGACTAACATGTACTGGTCACTGTGCTACTTTACATATATTATCTCATTTAATCCTCCCAATAAGGAAATAGTGACTTAGGTTGAGTTACTTGCCGAAAGTCAAGTGGTAGTAAGTTGAGTGGTAACTGCTACGTTCAGGTTGAGGGCCTTTTTATTTTGGAGACATTGTTTTTATTTATTTAATTTTAATTAATTAATTAGACTTTATTGTTTTAATTGCCTATATTGCGTCCTAGGAAGCAATAATTAACACAAAAGTGAAATAGCGTTTTATAAATTTAAGTATTAAGAGTTAATTTATCCAGTAACTACCAAAATGATTATGGAAATGTTCCCATCTTACTTAAATTTATCGTATAAAATACTACATACACATTAAGAGCTAAGTGATATTCTTTTTTCTTTAACGTTTATTTTAGAGAGAGCGAGCGTGAGCATGCGCACATATGCGGGGGGTGGGGGGGTGGGGGGGTGGGGCAGAGGATCCGGAGTGGGCTCAGCACTGACAGCAGAGAGCCCTATGTGGGGCTCAAACTCACGAACTGTGAGATCACCACCTGAGCCAAAGTCGGACACTTCATGGCCTGAACCATCCAGGTGGCCCGATCTAAGTGATATTCTTAAGGTAATCATAAAAAGATATTTTAGCCATTGTCAGCTTCAGGCCAGTGTCATAGGCTGAAGGAAGTGCTAAGCTTTTTGGTGTTGGTGGTTAACTATGAGAAAAATTTTGGGCTATTTGCACTTTCTCTCTTCAATCATACTAAATTTTATGGTATGACAAACATAAGGAATAAGAACATGATTTTGTTTTTAAGATCACTGGAGTTTATTTGTTTTTTTAACTTTGAGAACATAGGTTTTCAGTAGTTAGGGTTTTATAGACACCTGTCATTCCAGAACTAGGAAGAAGAATCCTGTTATACTTTAACAGTAAACTAATTGAGCTTCTTTTACTGTCGAAATTTTGATTGTTAATTTTAAAGTAATCTGGAAAATTCCCAAATCATCTTCTCCTTGGCTACCCATGTAAGTAGGTTGTTTTGATGAGTTAGTTATGTGTGTTTCTCAGACTCAAATGTGCAAGGGAATCATTTGGGAAATACAGATTCCTGGTCTCATGCCCAAAGATTCTATACATCTTGATGCTCAAGAAAATCCACTTTTAAATTTTATTTTAGTTTTTTTATTAAAACATTTTTTTAAGATTTTATTTTTAAGTAATCTCTGCACACAACATGGAGCTCTGATTCACAGCTCTGAGATCAAGAGTTGTAAGCTTGCCTTGCTGAGCCAGCCAGGTGCCCCAAGAAAATCTAATTTTTAGAGGAGTACTGTGGGTGGCTGTGAGGCCAGGGATTTGGAGCCATACTGCAGTGGGTGCTCTGAGCTGTTTCCCTGAGCCAGCTGCCCGCACTTCCTGGTTTTGTGATGTGCTGTGCTATTGGCAGCCCTGGTGTTTGTAAGATATTCAAAGAGTACACTTAAAAGGAGGAATAAGAAAGATTTAATATTTTTTGGCCTTTCTAGAATATATTGGCACACTGACATACAAATTCCATTGACAATTTTAAACAAGCAGATATAGAATAGTTGGTTTATTGACAGGAATACTCTAATATTCTGGGCGATGAACATAATATTTAATAAGTATTTTTAATATTAAGTATTAATCTTTTTTTTAAACATTAAAAAGTTGTTTTTAAGTAATCTCTACTCCCAGCGTGGGGCTCAAACTGACAACCCTGAGATTAAGAGTTGCATGCTCCACCGACCCAGCCAGCCAGGCTTCCCTTAACCATTAATATTCTTAATAGTTGTTAACTGATGTGGAAGAAAATGTTTAAAAATATGGAAATGGAAGGAAAGTCTAACAGTAAATGTATAGTGCATCATACTACTAATTGTTTAACAGTTTGGGAATTTTTATATCCAGAAGTAATTCCTCTATTATAGCAATAATGCAACTTTTGCATATTTTACTATGTTGTCAGAAAAAAGAGTGTACGTGAAGCAAATACAATATGTACTGAGGTTGAGGATGCAGCGTCGGGTAGGTTGCATTCCCTGTGGTGGAGGAATCCTGTATCTGATGTGTTGTATTACAGAATCTGAAGCAACCTCCTTTTGCTGTGTATATGTGTGTCACATCATTCTGTTGTGCACCTTAAAAGTACACAATGTCATATGGCAGTGGTATCTCAATGAAACTGGGGGAAAGTCTTAATATTTTAGTGAATAAGTGAATTTTCTTAACATTAGGGCATACATGATTTTTAACCAGTAATTTCTATCATTCAGTGAATCTTTTTGATCATGCAGTGAAATTTAGTTTTTTATAAATAATGGTAGTTTAATTTTCTATAAACTACTTCACAATGAAACATACTGTCTACATTAGTCTTTTGGTTTTTAAGTTTTTCAATTTATTTTTTATTTTAAAGTTTATTTTGAGAGACTGTGCTTGCATGTGGTGTGAGTGGGGGAGGGGCAGAGGGAGAGGGAGAATCCCAAGCAGCCTTCCTGCCTCCCGCACAGAGCCTACACCATGTGATCATGACCTGAGCCAAGATCAAGAGTCGGTTGCTTAGGTCGCTTCCCTCACTTAGCCGGCTGAGCCACCCACGCGCCCTTCCGTAGTCTCTTGTAATGGTTGACCTCACTTTCTAAAATACTGCTGACTATATTAAAATATTAAAGTAAATTCTACAATTGTAGATATTAACGTTTAGTGTAGTCTGTATTTGCTATGATGTAGTCCCAAAGTATATAGTTTTATTATGTAGTTTCTATGTTAATACACATTCTATTTGGTGATACGTCTGTGTGTAGTCATGAAATTAAGACGTCTTGATGATTAATAGAGTGGTATAGTGTTGGAAACCTGGAAATTCATGGACTCCCACTATATTGTTGCTTTTTTTATTAAAATTTTTTAAATGTTTATTTAATTTTGAGAGAGAGAATATGAGCAGGGCCGGGGCAGAGAGAGAGGGAGACACAGAATCTGAAGCGGGCTCCAGGCTCCAAGCTATCAGCACAGAGCCGGACACGGGGCTTGAACTCATGAACCACGAGATCATGACCTGAACTGAAGCCAGATGCTTAACCCACTGAGCCACCCAGGTGCGCCTGTTGTTGCTTTTTGATTTCCTTTTCTTGGGTGGAGTGTTTGTTTACGTTATCAGGATGAGTTTCAATCTTTAGATTATTTGGTTTTGGGTTCCTCAGTGCAAGGTTTTTTTGGGGGGGATATACTAATTTTGTGGTTAACTGTAGTGCGGATGTGTTCTTGCTTCAAGCAAGTAAATACTAAGCGTTCCTTTGTTTTAATGGACTCTGTTCCATTTAGGATGAAAAATTTTGTCTTTCTTAATTACTGGGAAATATTTTTGTTAGAATTTGAAACATGAAATGACCTCCAGCGTTCTGTTTAATGCCATCTTTGATTGGTTTATGGGAAGTGACTTCTCAGAGAGAAAAGCAGAGAATATGCGTCTGGAAATGGTCTGGCAAGGTAAACTTAGCGTAGTTACATCCGGTTGATGGCATTTCAGGTACAGAGACGTACAAATAAGAAAAAGCATATCTTTTGCAAATGATGGTAACGAACAGATGAGAATGATAAAATGCATTTTTAGAAAATAAGACGCATGCATGTTAAAATACAGCGTTATAAACTTTCCCCCTAGTGCAGGATAGT